GATTATTCTATAATTGTTAAACAAGCATTTCTCAATACATTCTCAAGATTTTCTCAAGCTTAAGGCTTATGTTTGAAAGCTCATTAAAATATTATTCTCAATTCAATTTGGTGTGTTGGGATGCAATAGGCCGGGGCGATTTGTATGGTGTTGAACTGAGCAAAATATTGAACAAAACAAAAAATGTATCATATTTTTGGATAAAAATTAAAAAAAAAAAAAAATTAACATGAACAACTGAAAATAGGAATTTATCAATCTTTCAATATAAATGTGCACCTTCATAAGAAATAACCAGAAATTGTGATCCAAGACTACTGCTACACACCACCTTTGAAAAGTAAGTCAAGGTTTCAACTAGTTTACTAAATACAAGTCAAATTTTCCAAAACAAAAAAAAAAATGAATTTTCTATACTTTCGACTTTTTGATTATGAAAATGGAGTTGAATCTCATGTGCAATTCCATCAGCTATTAAATAAGCGTTGCTGTCAAAAAAAGTAGAGTGATATGAAGTATGTATAAGTATATTTAAATTATACTTATCCCCGAATCGTCAAATCTATAGGGTCTTTGAACAACCTACATAAAACCCGCCTATTCGTATAGAAGACTAAAAGTTCTTCTAAACCAAAACGGCGTCTTCATGCAAGCACATAAGATGCATAGACACAAAAAATTTTCACACACAACCAAATGACTTGACATAGAAAGTCACAACGTCACCTTAGGAATGATCAACAAATTTTACCACAGATCTAAAGGTCCAATAAAAGATTTGTGGGACTTTTTATAAAGAAACCAAGGGGTCTTTCTTTAAAAGAGAATAAAAAGTCTTCTCGTTGCAGATCAAGAAGTCTTCCCATAAGTTTTAAAATAAGTGTCTCATAGAAGACGAGAAAGTCTTTTCAATAAAGATGAGAAGGTCTTCTACAGAGATCAAAAGACAACGGTAAGGTATTATCATAGAAGACCAAAGGTTCTTCTCATAGAGAACCATCTTCTCATAGAATATCAGTCGGAGTTTTCATATAAGACCAGTCGTTGTTCTCATAGAATATCAGTCGGTCTTCTCATAGAAGACCAGTCGGTCTTCTCATAGAAGACCAGTCAGTCTTCTCATAGAAGACCAGTCAGTCTTCTCATAGAAGACCAGTCAGTCTTCTCATAGAAGACCAGTCAGTCTTCTCATAGAATAGCAGTCGGTCTTCTCATAGAAGACCGCTCATACGATTTGGTGTTTAATTCACTCACTTTCGTAATATGAACTCTACAATAATGATAATAGGACTGTTGTAACCACGCTAGGGTCAAAACGAAAGATGAAAGGAAGCTAAAGTTTTGCACAGATCATTCTTTTGTCGCCGATATTCGGTATTTTGATAATTTTAGCCATTTTTATACCCTACACCACAAGGTGGTCAGGGTATTATGTATTTGTGCATTAGTTTGTAACAGACAAAAGGAAACGAGATAGACCCATAGTTCCTTTTGATGATCTGCATAGAATCACATTCTGAGTCGATTTATGCATGTCCGTCCGTCCGTCCGTCTGTCTGTCCACGTATTCTTGTGAACAAAATGCAGGTCGTATTTATTATCCGATTGAGATGAAATTTTCCAAACAACATTAATTTGGCCCAAGGACAAACCCTGTTGAAATTGCAAATAATCGGTAAAAATTTAGATATAGCTCCCATATATATCTTCGTCCGATTTGCCTTATTGTGCACCAAACGTGTAATATCAGCACGAATAGTATGGAATTTTGCACATACAACCAAATTAGGCCTGAAAATAAGTATGCCAAATTTGATCGAAATCGGTTCAGATATAGCTATAGCTCCCATATATATTTTTCATCCGATTTGTTATTTTTGTCCTCCGCAGCCGTAATTTGCACTCTGTAACCACAATATTTGGGAAAATATATCAAATACAGTTCAGAAATACCTTTGCTAAATGTTATCGAGATCGGTTCAGATTTGGATATAGCTCCCATATATAACTTCGTCCGATTTACCTTTGATTGTGCACCAAACGTCTAATATTTGCCCAAATGGGCAATGCAAGTCCGAATTTAAAAGATACAAATGCTTCGGCATATTTAGACCTTTGAACTTTAAATTATAATTATAATCATAGCGTGTATGATTGAATTCTCCCATAAAAAAACTTTTAATTGTTATGCGCAGCTCTACTAAATTAGCGAAATGGTGTAGGGTATCATAAAGTCGCCCCGCCCGACTTTAAGACTTTCTTTACTGGTTTTTATTGGAATTGTCTGGAATTCCTCACAAGGAGTTTCTTGTGAGTACTTTATTCCCTATAAGAGAATTGTCTATAAAGGTACACGACATCGTATAGCCCCATATAACGGTACCATCCGATATTCGCCATTTTGATGGTTTCAGCCAAATTTTTCAATGGAAGAGAATTGCCTTTATAGGTCCACGTTTTAGTATAGCGCCCATATAACGAGACCCGCAGATATTCAGTATTTTCATGATATTTGCGACATTCAGGGCTGTCATAGAAACCAATTTTGTAACTATAGGTTTTAAAAACGACAAGAAAAAATGATTTGGTGTCATGAAAATCAATGTTATCGGTTTTATTTTCGAATTAGAATTTTATCGGTTTTGGTTGTCATAGAAGCTGATGTTATTGGTTTTGTTATTGGAAATAAACCAAGTTGCTTAGAGCTGTCACTTTCATTTGCTTTGGATTTTTTAAGCAATTTTTAAAGGATATTCAAAGGAGTAAAAATGTGGATTTTTTAAACTATTTTTAAAGGATATTCAAAGGATTAAAAAAGGATTACAAATGTGGATTTTTTAAAATTTTAAAGGACTATAAACGTGGATTTTTAAAGAATTTTTAAAGGATATTTAAAGGACCATAAACGTGGATTTTTTAAAAGAATTTTTAAAGGACTATAAACGTGTTTTTTTTTCAAGATTTTTTAAAGGACTATAAACGTGGATTTTTTAAAAGAATTTTTAAAGGACTATAAACGTGGTTTTTTTTCAAGATTTTTAAAGGATATTGAAAGGATTATAAAAGTGGATTTTTTAAAGATTTTTCAAAGGATATTTAAAGGACTATAAACGTGGATTTTTTAAAGATTTTTAAAGGATATTTAAAGGACTATAAACGTGGATTTTTTCAAGATTTTTAAAGGATATTGAAAGGACTATAAACGTGGATTTTTTCAAGATTTTTAAAGGATATTGAAAGGATTATAAACGTGGATTTTTTCAAGATTTTTAAAGGATATTGAAAGGACTATAAACGTGGATTTTTTAATAATTTTTTAAAGGATATTTAAAGGACTATAAACGTGGATTTTTTTAATATTTTTTAAAGGATATTTAAAGGACTATAAACGCGGATTTTTAATGTTTTTTAAAGGATATTTAAAGGACTATATACGCGGATTTTTTAAAGATTTTTTAAAGGATATTTAAAGGAAAGGACTATAAACGTGGAAAGGACTATAAACGTGGATTTTTTAAAAGAATTTTTAAAGGACTATAAACGCGGATTTTTAATGTTTTTTAAAGGATATTTAAAGGACTATATACGCGGATTTTTTAAAGATTTTTTAAAGGATATTTAAAGGACCATAAACCATAAATCTGCAAAGCACCTTTTTGAATAAGTTCACAATAAAAAAATTTACTTACGCTATCTCCGGCAACTCCAGTGGGTTGCTGAAATCTCTAAGAGCTTTTCTCGTCACCTTTTTGAGCGTTCTTCGTCCAACAACACAAAAACTACCACTGCTGATGCCATCTTACTTTATTTATAGCGACTTTTTCTATTTACTTTACTTTTACTGATATTTTAGTGACAAATAAACAAACAACACATGTAAGCAACAACAGCTGTTTCGAACATTGGTTTTATTTACCTTCGAAATTGACAAAACCAACTTGGTTTCATGACATCAAATGAAACCAACATTGGTTTACAAAAACGACAATAAGCAAACCCGACATGGTTTCTGTGACAGCCCTGATTATTTACCGGAATTGTTTGAAATTTCGTATTTGAAGTTCGGGACCTATGACAAAAATTACTTATGCAGGACCCCATCTTCGTATAGTCCCCATATAACGGTTTTCATTAGAGCGGTATCTTTGGACGGAATTTTTTTCTTAAAAATTTTCAGGGTTCTTCCAAATAATGGAGGGTATAAAAAGTTCGGCCCCGCCGAATGTAGATCAAATGTAAGAATATACTTAAATTTTGTCCAAAAAATATTGGCAGCTTTAAATCTAATTGCATGAAATAATTTTTTCCTGCTAGCCAGTAATTTGTGGAATGCTGTAAAAAATTGCACACGAATGCCATTTTTCAAAATCCACTCTGCCTCTACTCTTCTCTAAGAATGGAGCACTTCAAAAACTCCCTACTCACACCAACACACATTCGCATTTTTGCATGTGTCGAATGTTTTATTTATGTGGTCGTTGCATATAATAAATTTTTGTAATTGCAATTTTTATCGTTGGTTATTTGCTGTACAAAAAAGGGGGAAAAACTACTAAAATTGCAAGTCTCAAACGAAGTATTTAAATGTAATTTTATTCGCATGAAAAGGCTATTAGTGAAACGGGGGAATAGTCGAAGAGGGTGAGAATAAATTATTTTAAATTTATTGGAAATAATATTGGTAAATAATAATCTTTTCAATGAAGTTCTGGATGTTTTTCATAGCATGCTTCCATACGAAATTCTCTGAATGGAACTTAAAACTTTCATTGCCATAACAAAAGAGAAATATCACATCATTATTAAATACATAAATATATTATAAAAAAACACAAAGATCTCGTATGTATGTTTGTTTATCTCTTCAAAGTTTATTTGCTGTTGTTGTTGTTGTTTACGATGAAGTGCCATGCCCACAACTCAAGTTGAAAAACAAATCCCTTTTAATTAACTAATGAAACAAATAATCAACTTTGAAATATTTACAAACATTCACTCACCTGGAAGATAATTGCTTCTCGTTCTGCTTGACTGGCTTTTTGGAAAATATTATTCATTATTTCCAGGTATTTATCGCGTGGCAATGATGTCGCATCATCCTTATCGAAATAATCAATAAAGTCATAGAGCAGAAAATATGTGCCTGAAAAAAAAATAGAAAACAAAAATTTACAATCATTGGGTATTTGATGGCGAGTAATATAGAGTGTTGTCAAATCAATTAACAGGGAATGTAACATATTTCAAGTTGTCAGGATAAAGAGTTGATTACTCGTATTACTCGGAACATTCGAACTTTAAACATGTAAAAAACATTATTCGACCGGGCCGAATTTTTAATAAATTTCACCATTGGGTAAAGAAAGCATTTTTATATAAAACAATTAGGCGAAGGCTATAGTCGTGCTTTTGTTATTATGTCATAGAGCACTGCCCAGATATTACCCTTAGCTTTTTGACCAGGGGCATTTATTGTGGTACATTTTACAGCTAAATATAATCCAATAGTCATCCAAAATGCTGTCCTTAACTCTCTTCTCATTCAAAATTCCGCGTTGATTGATTTCAATTGTGTTATCACGAAAATTGTTCTGTGTTTGGTTCATTTGAATCCCTAAATAATTTGCAATCATCTCCAAATGCAAGAGGCCCCTCTGTATCTCCAAATGTAGATTCATCTATATGATTTGTTTGTCTACGATATTTGGCTATATTCGTCAACAAAATCAGCATGAACAAGTAACAAGTAAAAAAGCAGTAAGTTCGGCCGGGCCGAACTTTGAATACCCTCCACCATTTGGAACGAATTAGAAAATTTTCAAAAAAATTAAATCCAATAAAAATTCTTTTAAAATCTTTAAAATATCTAATATAGGAAGGTGCCGATATATGGAGGGATATACGATATTGTGGACCTATAAAGACAAATCTATGTCTGCGTGTAAAGTACTCACAAGGAACTCCTTGTATGGATTTTCAGATAATTCCATTGGAAAAAGTGGCTAAAATCATCAAAATACCAAATATAGGGGAGTACCGTTATATGGGGGCTATACGATATTGTGAACCTATATAGATGATTCTCTGCCGAGGTATAAAGTACCCACAAGGAACTCCTTGTGTGGATTTTCAGACAATTCCGTTGAAAAATATGGGTAAAATCATCAAAATACCGAATATCGGGGGGGTACCGTTATATGGGGGATGTACGATGATATCGTGGACCTGTATAGAAAATTCTCTCTCAGGGGGTAAATTACTCGCAAGGAACTACTTGTGTGGATTTTCAGACAATTCCATTGAAAAATGTGGCTAACATCATCAAAATACCGAATATCGGGAGTACCGTTATATGGGGGCTTTACGATATCGTGGACCGATATAGCCCATCTTCGAACTTGACCTGCCTGCAGACAAAAGAGAGATCTGTGCAAAATTTTAGCTTCCTATCTTAATTCGTTTGGACTGTAGCGTGATTAGAACAGACGGACAGACGGACGGACAGGGCTAAATCGTCTTAGAATTTTACGCTGATCAAGAATATATATACTTTGTTGGGTCTAAAATGATTATTTCGATGAGTTACAAACGGAATGACGAACTTAATATACCCTCCATACCTTTTTTGGTGGAGGGTATAAAAAAGTACCGGTCAGTTTTGCCCACAGAAGTATACCAGCCAATGTTCGATTATTTAAAAATATTTTGACTTCTGTTATGATTATTTAAATGCTTAACCCCTTATGCAGTAGGTTCCGGAGGAATGGACCAATATTGGCCATTTCGTATCGGACCTAAATAAATATGATATAAATGTGCTAGGTTTGGACTCTGTTGTGTTGATGAAAATATTGGGATGTACCAAGTCTTGAATGGAATCGGATGTCAATTTCCACTTTTTATGAGCTTCATGGATATTCAAAATGTTGAGCCTTTGTGGGAGAGGTACCAGAAAGAGTGGACCGATATATTCTATCTTAACACCAAAACTTGGGTTAATAAAAATATTAGGGTTTGTGAAATTTTAAGACAATCGGATTCTTACATTACATTTTATAAAAACTATAATTATTCAAAATTTTTACCCTTTGCGGGGGAGGCACTTGATGGAGTGGACTAATATTATCCATTTTTGTACCTGACCCAGAACACACGCAAATTTTTACGATTCGCCAAGTTGGAGCAAAACCGGATTATTGCTTCTCTTTCTGTGCAGAAAAAAATATTTTTTTGCTTTTTTTTTTTCTTTTCTGAAAATTTCGATTTGATTTGGGGGAGGTACCAGAAGGAGTGGACCGATATATCCCATCTTCACAACAGAACTTTTGTTAGTAAAAATAATGGGATGTGTGAAATATAAAGAGAATCGAATGCTTATTTCGGTTATTCAAAACGTTGACCCTTTGTGGAGAAGTCACCAGAAGGTATGGTCCGATATCTACTCTTTAAAACAGATCCTGTGTTGATAGAAATACTCAGATATGAGTATTAGTCTAAATGGAATTGGGTGTTAATTTCACGTGCTTATTGAGCTTCATCGATATTGCAAATTTCGACCTTTTGTGGGGGACGTACTTGATTGAGTGGACCGGTATTTTCCATTTTTGAACCTGACCTAGACCTAACGCAAATATTAGGATTTGCAAAGTTGGAGCAAAATCGGATTATCGATTCTCTTTCTGTGCCAGTAAATATGTATTTTTTGAAAATTTCGACCTTTTGTGGGGTAACCCCCCACCGATATATTCCCACTTAACACCAAACCTTGGGTTAATATAAATATTGGGATGTGTGAAATTTGAAGACAATCGGAATCTTGCATCACATTTTATGAGAGTTGTAATTATTAAAAATTTGTGGGGGAGGTACTTGATGGTGTAGATCGATTTTGTCCATTTTCACACCTGACTCTCTTCTGTGCAAAAAAAATATATTTTTTGAAAATTTCGACCTTTTATGGAGGATGTACTAGATGGAGTGGCTCGATATTGCCCATCTCCGAACTCGATCTAAGTTTGACAAAAATATTACGATGTACTAAGTTTGTATCAAATCGGATACTCCCTTCGAGAGTTATCGTGCACACCAGCCAGGCAGACAGACGGACGAATGGACATCGCTAGATCGACTCCAAATGTTCTGAAATGGATTTGGTCCAAAGAGACCTAGGGTCTAAAACCGTTATTTCGTCTAGGCACGTTTTGACCGTATCAAATGATATATACCCTCTGTAGCCATATGGCTGAAAGTATAAAAAGCCAGAAGTTCGCCTGTTGTGTATTTTGGATTTCGTCAGTAAGTTATTTTCAGCTTTTCGGTAGAATGGAAATGTTGGTATTTTTTTAACACAAAAGTAGTAGCTTATTCTACTCGCTGTCCTAAACTCTAACTTCATGCGAGATTTTGTGTCGTTTTGTTTCTATTCGTGACCTTTATAACGGATGCAAAATTAGGAACATTTTTAGTTGTTGGTCCATTTCAACCCCTAAATATATTGCGGAAATCTTTAGAAACAATAGGCCTAGCACTTTTGAACCTAACCCTAATCTTATGAAAAAATATGAAAAAAATATCACAAAATACTACAAAATCTATACTAACATCATTATTGGCATCTTTTTATGCGATTTTTTAGAAATTATTCTTTTATGTCAAGAGGGCTTTCTGAATTGACAAAATTTGTCAAAATCGATCCAGCCATTCTAGAGATATAAGAATTATAGCTAGCATCTCTTTCCTTTGTATATATATCAATAAATATATCGGATATATATAGTGAAATATATACAATGTATATTTCTCTATATATATCCGAAATATTTACTATCGGCATCTACATAACGGTCAGAGTTGATCTTTTCGTCTATTTGTGACTTCGCTGGGATTTAAAATAATCGCGGTTTAACGGAAAATTTGACGTTTATCTAACATAAATGTTATGGTCTATTTCACACACTAATCATTACGCGATGACCATCTGCCCAGCTCAAAGCTTTAGCCCCATGCTAACTTCCGCTTCGATTGGTCTATAAATGCGACCTGTAGAGCAACTGCAAAATCAGGAAATATGTCAGTTTTTGGTCCATTTCAACCTAACCCATTTCCTAAATATTATGCGATCATCTCCAAAAGCAATAGACTCCTATTCTGGCCCTAGCCCCACCTCCGTTCCAAATTTCGTAAAGATCGGGCCATAATTGCGACCTGTAGAGTAATTACAAATTAACATGGACAGACGGATGGACGGAAGGACGGACATAAATAGCTAGATCGACTCAGCTCGGAGAGATCGGAAGATCCATATACACTTTCCTATGTGGGAAACCAATATTTCGAGGTGTTACATAATTGTTGGCCCAATCAAACTTATAATACCCCAACACATAGTGTTGTAGGGTATAAAAACATTACCCTATTTCAATTTGCAACTTCTGACCCACGAACACTACGAAATTAGATCAGACAACTGTTTTCAGTACGAATTTTCAACAATCTTGGGATGATGATCCAGTCAGTCAATCATCTTTTATGTTTGTTTCATAGATTGGCAGGTTGGAAGCATTTCATATTTGACAGCCAAAAAAATCCATCTACTAAAAAAAAAAACTAGCAACTGGACAAATTATAGTTTACATTACAGCCTGAATATTCCCATTTCCACCTTGCATTTGCCATGTCGAGGCACTGTTGACCTTGACACGTTTTCTATTCATATTGTGTTGCCCTAAGGACCTTAGATTGCGGAATGTAACAACAATACCAGCAACAATAAGAACTTGTAGTGGAAACAAAATATTTGGTTTGAAGTGACGCGACTACAGTAACAAAGGGTGTATGGAAGAATGGAGGATAACTAGCTTTTGTTAGGTGTTATGATAACTTAGCCAATGAATTCAAGTATTTCTAGCATTGTCATTTGTTACAGCGTCTTGTGTACAAAAATAAGTTTACAATTTCAGTTAGCAACGCGTTATGCTTTTTATTCCTCTATATACGAAAGCACGAATGATTTACATTCGGCGAAAAGGGGGCTTCAAAAACGAGTGATGAAAATTCAGGATAAGGATAACTATGGCACCAAAGCAATTATTTGTATTTGTTTTGACATGATGGTATCATTGGTGTTATTCTCCAACTTGTTTG